TTTTTGATTTTTGTGGCTCTTTCCATACTACACTAGCGATACATAAACACATATGTATATTTTTACTACTTACAGTTCGCGCAGTACTCCTTCAAAATGTTGTAAAAATGGTTGTAATTCAACAGTATTCGGCTCCTTACAAGAGATGCGCAACACATCGATTTGCGTCAGCCTTTGTAACTCCGTCGCTGAGAGCAAATCGATTTTATTTATAATCAATTGTATGCGCTTATCCGCCAACGCATTTTCGTCCAAGTCCAATTGCTGCAGGTAATTGGATTGATATTCTTTTAACGTGCCATTATTATTTGCTATATTGGCCAACAGCTCACGCGCGTCAGTTAGCAGTAAAATTAGATCCGCATTTTGCAGACATTCTTTTGCTCTACTCATGCCCTCCAATTCTACTATATCCTGCGTTTGTTTATGCAAACCTGCAGTATCGGCAAAGATGACTGGGTAGCCGCCAAAGTTATGCGTACTTTCAATGATGTCGCGTGTAGTGCCAGCTATGGGTGTTACAATTGCTACTTCTCGCTGACACATCATATTCAAAAAACTGCTTTTGCCCACATTGGGAGCACCGACTATTGCGGTGCGCACTCCATTTCTCAACATTTCGCCCTGCCGCTGATCGTTCAGATGTTCACGTATTTCAGTTATAATACGGCGAAGTTCTTTATTCAATTGCATCACCACGTCATCCTCTATATTTTCTTCTTCCGCAAAATCTATGTAAGCTTCCAAATGTGCGGCACAACGTATTAGACGCCTCCGCCAGTTGTCGTAAACACGGGAAAGTGCCCCAGTACTTTGCAGCATAGCCTGTAAAAGTATTATAAATTTAAGAAAAATGAAACAAATCGTTAGAAAACGAAAATTCTCTTAGTGATCACCTGTTTCCTTTGTGCTTCTGTCTCAGCATGTATTAAATCGGCTAAACCCTCGACTTCAGTTAAATCAAGTTTTCCACCGAAGAAGGCACGTTTTGTAAACTCGCCAGCAGTTGCCGGCCTCAGTCCAGGGACTTTGCCTAACGCATCCATTATGGCGGCAATTACAGCTAAGGAACCGTGAACTTGAAACTCACATGAATCTTCCCCCGTAAACGAAGCTGGCCCAGGAAACCATAGAACCAATCCCTTGTCAATTAGTTCTTTATTTTCTGGATGATAGATGGACTTAAGGTATGCATAACGCGGTTTTAGCTCATGACGCAACCCAATAAGAGTTTGGAGTGCATACTTAGTGCGCGGCCCTGACACGCGTATAACAGAGACTCCACACTTGCCGTAGCCTGGGTGTTTAAATGTGTTGATAAAGTCAATTGTTGACTTACAGAATTAAGAGGATACGGTTTAGTTATTTGCCCAATGATTTCGGGCTATTGTGTCCGAATGG